GAAAATCAACAGGTAGTTAGTGGTGGACGAACACTTGTATTTTTTGCGAATAATTCTAATGGACAATCGAATTTCGACTACCTGTGAAATTCAAAAGGAATAATATACCAACCGTAATTATAAGACGGTGGCGAACTGTGAGCCGAGGACTCTTTAATGATAATAAAATGAGTCACCGCAGGACGCTATCGGGCGGCAGAATCGAACCACGCCTAATGTGATGTTATTGTCGTACTGTCCGAGACAACGGGAATAATGAACAAGAGAGGGACGAAAAACGTCAAATATCCCAATAACACCCAAATTTATATCGGTGCAGACGACTACCTACTCATTAAGTGCAATACCAATTCATTTTCGACCGTTTACAATAACAATGCCCGTACGGACTTCAATCACAACTGAACAATGTAACTGTATAGCGCACAATCGTATTGTATCAAACTATATCAAACGTTAATGTCAACCTATTAAAAAGTGGTTTCCTTGATATCGAATTCTATATACCTGATTGTCACATTAGCGAAACCCCATAAAGCCATTAAGAACCGATATCGGGCATCGAAGACACCAAATTCAGGAGGATAACTTCAGTATGTGGTTTACCAGTGCAATTGTCACACGTCTTAGTGACCGTTACTGTTCCAACGAAAAAAATATTATACTCTTTCTGGTGTTTATTGAGCTCCGGGGCGATAATTCAGCGCAGTTTTGCAGCGCACGTGTCGGTTTTTCTTCGCCCACCCACTTCGGCTTTGTCTGCAGCTAGCTACCCGTCTAGACCGCGTGCCGCACAACAAGTGGTAAGTCTACTACAAGTCTAGAAAATGGGTAATACAATATTATACGTCGAGCCTATCTCGATAATTCTAATTTTTTTTCTCGCCCCCCGAAGAGTTTTCAGTTTGTGTTTGAGTTAAATAACTCGATAAATACATATTAATATGTGCACATTTTTCGAATCATTTATTTTAAGTTAAATTAATTTTTATCCCCTTTAAAATTCGAATTTTCGAATAATATTTTACTATCATGCATTTGGGCAGTTTAATAGGTTAATGTATGCGCGCATGACCGCGCGTGAATTGACGTTCGACCTCTATTTAAATTATTCTATAAAACAATATCAGCTATTATATTTAGGCATAAGAAAACTAAAATTTAAAAAAAAAACCAAACCTTTCACTTCAACAGACATTATAGTAAAAATAATATGTTATTTTGATATTTCGCGGTTTTACACTGTGCCATTTTCAATTTAGTTTTAATATTAAATACTTACAACTTTTGAGATTTCATATTTTTTCTATATTAGTTTCAATTTTAATTGGCTAAGTGTTTGATCTATAATCATTCTATATTGTTTTTACATTTCAACAAATGACTATTTTTGCACGTCGATGAATAACATTGGACCTACATCTGTTGACTATTGCTAAATTTTAGTTTTTAATTTAAATTCAATTTGTATATAAAAATTATTATACATACGTTTATTGTTTTGGTAATGTAAATGATCAATTTTATTTTTTTTCAATTTTAATTTCAATTCCGAATATTATTATCAACAACAATTTTCGATTACGATATTACTTTTGATTTTTAAAAGGTTTTCAACAATTTTTATCGATATGTAAAATCAATTTTGAAATCAATTTCAGTCTAAAGTGTAGCATAGAATATATTTGAATACTATTAAGACCGTCCTCGATTTACATAACGGTGTTTACTATATGTATAAGATTGTATTTGAATAATTTGAATAGATTACATTTTTTTTTTAATGGTTGTGGAATTATTCAATTTTGCAAAGAATAAGCTTACGAACCCAAAATTTCTGATTCTTTTTAGCCATTACCATAGAATAGTAACAATTGTAATGTATGGCTTGATTTTGTTTATAACAATATTCCGATTTTATTAATACGAATCAATAAAAATTGCTTATAACAATAAAACTGAATGCAAACTTCATCAATATTAATGTGGAACAAATAATAACCAAGCCACACGTGAGTAGACGAATTTTCATTTCAAACTTTTAGTCCACCGTCAATGTTTTAATTAGGACTCGGATTTAAATAGCCTAAAAAAAATGACGAATGCCAAAAAAAAAATGTTTAAAAACTGCACTTAAACGTGTCAAAATCTCGAATAATGCAAAACGAAGTGCATATAATCAACATATTGTGTACTTGAAATACATTTGTATTGTTGGAAACATCTTGTCAAGCTCTGAAAATAATAATATACAAGTGCGTCGAAATCTGAGCCTCCAAGACTTAAAATAATATCACGCAAGAAAATAACGCTTCTTGTTTTTTGAAAGTGGAATGTCGTTGGTCTTGTAATTTATTAGAAATTCTTCAGGACAGTGTTTTCCTTAGGCTAATGAAAATACAAAAAAATAACATCTCCAACTCGTCTAAACACACCCGCAGACCGTAATCGCTCAGAACATAAAATGAATAAATATTTACTATACCTACCCATGTAACATCTACTAGACGTGTTTGTTTTAGATAACATATTTTTTAGGTTCGAATGTATTATACTGGTTTCACATTGATGTGTTTTTTATTTGTATTTATGTTTATAATATGTATATTATGTGAATAGTGTTCTGGGTAAAAGCAGTTCTGTGTTAATCTGTAAATCTGTATAGATTAGAAATTGTATGCCTGGTAATGGCGGTCGGTTTTTTAGTGACTACATTATTATTCATATTATGGTTTTATGAGCGTACGGCCCACGAAGTGACAGAAAAACTCGGAATATCTATGTGACTATACATTTAAAGCTACGTTTTTATTTGAATCGGTTTTCGGTCATTTCATCAACCTTCATAAATATTATGTAATATTATCTTAAAGCAGATTGGATACCTTAACCAATAATTGCTATTATTTAATAATTATAACAAGCAATGTTATTATGAACATAAAATAGTATATTATATTGACTGATTTATTACAAACTTTTTAAAAAAAATTATCGAAAACATGCACACTTATGGTATATTTTTGCATTAAACGCGGAACTTCTTATTTTCTTTCATTATACTGTCGTTAAATTTTCAGTACTATTATTATTAAAACCGTTGACAACTGTCAAGGTAAAAACAGTTTCATGTAAATCTATATTGAAAATCTTAAACATTGTCTTTCAAAGATCACGACTATTTTGGTGTTAAATACGGGATTCGTTATTTTTTTTAATTTCTAACAATATGAATCCTAAACATCTTATGATGTTTACTTGCATACATATTTTCATTTGAAAATCTTAAGTACCCGGCCACCATGGCAACATAGTAGATTTACATTCTTAAAAAACAACCACACACTACACTATCACCCGGCGGATTAATAGGTACACAATATTTTCACCATCGTATTTCCTAATTTTTCGCTAAACGTACATAATTAACTGTTTTTCGTCAACATATATATTCCGTAATATTTTCAACCGAATATCATTTATTACCGTTTTACAATTAGTAGGCACGATTCTACAATTATTTTGACTGCAACACGCAGACAGTAACCAAATTCGGTGACTTTTTTTTAAACGACACATTTCTACAAGATTATATCAGCGTGGAAAAAAATACCTTATATCTCGGTGTAACCGACAGAATATATTATAATAATATCATAATATATTCCCGAAAATTTCTCACGGAGATATAACTGCGGCAATGAACATATCTCGTTTTCCGTTTTTCCGGTTTTTTTTTTGGAAGCAACAATCAGATAAAATCCCGATTGGTATCACTACTGAAATAATATTGTAATAGTCATTATGCATTTGAAATAATATTCCTGTTGGTATTTTTAGTGATTTCATTTGAAACAATAATAATATTAAAAGTATTAAAAATAAACTACTAAAAGTTAAGATACCAAAATACTTGTATTTTAAAAATATTAAAAAGTTTCATTTTCGCGTTGAAAGTATTTGAAAAGTGTGCTATAGATCGTCTGGTTATTGCGATTGAACTCTTCGGTCATTAAAATGTCCAGTTAAAGGTTTCGTAAAATCGGGGATGTATATTATAATACACGTGAGTCAATTAATTTTAAAACAACGAAAAATATTTTTTTTCGATGGTTTATTTTGTTTCGCTAAAAATAATGTGAATAAATGTAAATTGCCCTGCTGAGGTTTAACAGAATTGAAAAAAAATCAGTGAAACGAACGCAGTTATTTATACTAATTTAGAAGGCGGTTGTTAAGGAAATCCGTGTAAAATGTATTCTCGTTATAAAGATGGTCTAAGGTTAGTTCGATATAAAAATGTTTCATATGAAATTCCTATACAATTATAACATAATATAAAATTCCTTTGATGTTTAAATTCAAAGCATTCAAGTTAATGTTTCCGCATATTTCGACAAAATATTTGATTCGTGTTAATGGCGTATTTGACGATTAGGACCTTAATGATTTTAGGACCTACTTCGAATTATTTGGATATTATATCTTCACCGATATTCGTTTGGATTCCTAACGAACAATAGAATGCTGGTACAAAAATCACTTCAGTGGATAAATGCAATGAAATTGTATTAAGAAAGCGTGCGAGCTTTAACTTTTTTTTTTATGCAATGCAAGTCTATATAATTGCAGTTTAAAAATTCGACTATACTCAATGATAATAATTGTGCTCACAACTACGATTATCGGTATATGTGTACTCATATTGTACAATATATTTTTCTTAATATTTTAATTTGCACTCAACAATACAATATGTTATTACAATATTATACGTAAATACCTAATCGGACTATTTTTTTTTGTGTTTAGGTGCTGTTTGACAAAAAAAAAAAATCGGTGGCATTAAAATCTACGCCGAGATAGTATTTTACTAAAAAAAAAAAACACGATAATTACACTCGGATAACGATTTCGCAGAACCGCGGAGGTTAAGTTTGTCGTCTATGCGCATTTGGTCTTCACCTCCATAGCTGGATTCGAAAATCGTCGGACGGACAATGAGTAACGCGGAGATCCATGATTTGACGGATAGCGACCGGGAAGATGGCAAGCTGATCATAAGTTCCATGAACTTTCAGCGCTTGAACTACAGGCCGGGGAGCAGTGGAAGCGACAACCGACTGCGGATTCCCATTCCCATTAAGAGGCGACACCTCGGGCAAGACGACTACCCGAACTTCGAGAGGCAGTACATACAGAACATCAACATCCCGACCGCCGCCAAGACGGAGAGCGACGCGGACGGCGTGGTCCAAAACCAAGACGACAATTATCACTTCCTGATGAGCTTGTTGCCGTACCTGCGCGAAGTGCCGAAAAACCGGAAAATGGTGATCCGGCACAAGTTGCAGAAAGTGTTCGTCGAGGAACAGGAGCGGAAAAGCGTCGGCAGAAGCGCCCCGCCGAACAACCCCGGCTTCAATCATTTCCAGCAGCCGTTCGCCCGCGCGTTCGTGCCGGATCCGCCTCAGCACCACGTGCCGCAGACCCCGAGACATCCGCCGCCGCCGTATCCGGTTTACAAGCAGGAAGTCGGCTACAACAACTACGTGCCGTCGGCCACGGCGGCGTCGATGCCTCTGCAAAACGCCAGCGCCTCGACGTCCACGGCCTTGGGCGATCTTCTCGTCCAGCAGCAGCAGCAGCAGCCGATCCTGCAGCAATTCGCGGCGCCGACCGGACATCAGCAACTGCAGTCGTACGCCAACAGCAACAGCAGCTTTTCCAGCTACGCCGCCACCGCCGCCTCCGTCGCCAACAACAGCAGCAGCAGCAGCGGCTTTTCCAGCTACGGCGCCACCGCCGCCTCCGCCGCCAACAATGCCAACAACAACAACAACAACAACAGCAGCAGCAGCAGCAGCGGCTTTTCCAACTACGTCGCCACCGTCGCCGCTGACAACAACAACTTTTCTAACTACAGCTCCGGCGCCGCCGCCACCGCCACCGCCGAGGTCATCAACGACGGCTTTTCTCACTACAACTCGACCGCCGCGGACAACAGTACTTACACTTATCAGTCGGCGGTGACCGGGGAACCGCAGACCATCACGTACTTGCAATGATATGGGTATTCGACGAGGTGGCGCAACCGCGGGGGAGGTGCATGACGTGTCCGCCCCCTCCCTTCAAACCGTTTGTTCGAGTCTTTCGAGTCCTTTTTAAAATTCGCGAAAAAAAAACTCGAGGAACCGCTGTACCTTTATACTCCGCTGACGGGGACATACCTCTCCTCGAAAAAATCCATCTGGTTGCACCACCGATTCGATACCTATATAGCTGCTTGCCATACGGGTCATGCGATCGGCTATGTTCGCGTGACATTACTCAATATCCTAGCTATAGGGTAGTGTACGCTTTATTTTTATTTTTTTTGACCAATTTGGAAAATCAAGTACAAATTAAAAATTTTTATAATATGCAAGCTTTTACAAGTCCCTAACCCCAATCGCGTGTACATGCATGATTTAACATAAAAACCCATTTAACCATCGCTTTTTTTTTATTTTCATGATATTTTACTTTTATACGGGCGGTGATCGTTTAGGCGAGTGAAATTCTTACACCTCAGTGAGCGATTTTCCTATGACATGATATGAGATTGTATTATATTAATTTTTGACCGAATTTTTCATTACGCAACGTTACGATTTATATGACTACAATAATTATACCAATACCGTTTACAAGTTTTTTTTTTATTGGCTTCTAGTAAAATACTATTAGACCTCAACAATTGAGAGAAGAACTTAAGAAATAAATATACACAGCAATATTAATTAAAAGATATTGATCTCCATTATAAATATGAAAAGTAAACATAATTTTAGCATAATTATTTTTATTAAATATTTTAGTTTTAACATAACCCATTTTTCAGTCAATTGCTAATAATAATTATTAATTAGGTATGTATACACACATCGTGAGTCTTTTTTTAATTTTTAAATATTTTTTTTTTTACTACCTATAATAATGAATAGTGCATTAATATTGCACAATAGGTGTAACTAATATATTCAATTAATTTACCTATAAATACATAATATTCATAATCAATTGCTCAAAAATATTCTAGTACTTTTGGTGGAATAATAAACACTCGTCCAAACGGTCTACGCCAAATTTTTTAACATTATTATATTACTCGATTTGCTACTCAAATATAAATGTAAAATACATTACAGTAAGATCTACAATATTCCACCCGTGCAAGCATATTATATTTGAGAATATTATTATCAACTATTATTTTGTATTTTTGTGATAAGACTTTTGATTCCTATGGTACATACAATTTCCTATAGTTATCGCGAGTTCAAAACAAATGGTTTTCTACTGCAGTTCTGAATCTGCAGCAGTACATATAGGCAGGTACTTATTACAAAAGTAATCAATTCCATTTGTTTTGTCATATTAGCTTGGATACTTCCTAAGTGAAAAATACGAAATCGTATTTTCAATATTAATTGTATTACAATATTACTCAAATATCATTATTTTCAATTTTAATTTTATTACAATATTACTCAAATATTATTATTTTATTTTTATCTTTAAAGTTTGGCTATGTTTATTTTTTTTTAAGTTTTGCTATTTTTTTTTTTTTTTTAATTTAACTAGCATTTTTAATCAAACATAGGTATTTATAACTTGTAAATTGTGGTTGTGTATTACCTTATTACATAAAAAAAACTCCTGGCGTTTTGCCAATCAGGGTTTTCTTCACTCCACAACAAATTAAAAATTTGCATGCCACATATTATAGTAATTGTATACATATGAATTTATCATTTATATTTTTTACTGTTCAATAATTACTATATCATTCTTGAATATATTATATAATTATTATTTTCATTTATTTTTCAATAAACAATACAAAGTGTATTATTTTTTTCAACCGTATACCTAATAGTTGTAAAATATTATTTTGTATTTTAGTCCAACTTTCTTCCTGCGTTAGAGTATACCCAATAAATTAATCATATTATTATAATATATTATGGTAAAAATTGTGAGAAACGAATTTCAAGTTTGTACAAACCATAAACGAGTGCAAGTAACATCTCGTCAAAACAAAAAAAAATATACAATTATGACTATGATGATATTATAATATCAGCTATAAGGTATATAATATAATAATATGATATTATTATATTGGTTATTGGTAGGTATAATCCGAATAAATATATATATTTATAATATATTCAATATAAATTGGTCAAACGCACAAAAGTAAATTTTACTAATAAATTAATGTAAACTACCCGAAATTGAACACCTATAGGTGAACCTACGATTGAGATATTTTCATTTCAACAAAATGAGGACTCGTCGCTCGGCGCAGTAGATTTTAACACGATATGGATTACAGCGTAAGTATAAATAGGTCATAATAATATTATTTGTGACTATTCGTTGGTCATCACGACTGCACGGTTTTTTTAGAAAAAAAAGTTCAATCCCGGTCTCGACCATTTGGGGTACGAGTATCAATATATATATTATTGTCAGAATTGATCGCGTTTGTACATTTCAGATCAAACATCGAACAATAGTGCATTGCTGTAACCTACTATGGTAATAATAATAATAATAATAATTGCAATAATTATAAGACGACGTGGTTAATGTTATATAGGTATAGGTTGAGTTTACTGCGCGATATAATATTATATCTACGTTGGTACACTTGAACACGGACATTATATTTATTGTTAGGATATGGCCAAATCGTTCGTAGTTATTCTCCAAACAGAAAAAAGTATTATGGTATATTTGTATCATTTTGTACAAACTGCGGTAGGGTACAATAGCATCGGACACAGAGAACAGCAGGAGACAAAGGTGTGTGTCGAAATGGTTCCATGAAGTGGCCGATTTAACCTGAGAACGAGAAGAATGATTTTGTTCTGCGCTGTTTTATAGGTACAAGCAGATCCGTCTTCCGTTCATAATTCGATAGGTTATATTATATGATTATAATAATAATAATAATAATAATATATAACGGCTGGCGACGATAGTATGACTGATGACCAAGGCTAGGAATTCAATGCACTTAAAAACTATTAAATATGCTATAAAAACTGACAAAATGTGCATAAAAATATGCCCGCATATATAGAAATAAAGGTTTTCTATAAAAACCACAAAAATTTAACTTTTATCTTTATTTTTTTCATTATAATTTTTTATTAATTTTAATTTAAATGATATTAGTATCGTTACATATTGATATGAGTCATATTACTTATTAGGCTTGACAAGTCCTGATCTTCGCCGCATACAAGATTTATAAAAGAAATATGCTTAGAATAGATTGTGTTTCCACTTAAATATTTTACCTTTAGAGTAGTTAAATCAATGATTTCTTTAGATTTTCAAACTTGAAAGACCATTTTTGTATACAACCATTTTCATATAGATTAGTTTCCATGAAATTATTCTAGTCATAGTTTATGCAAATACATTTAATATTTTAATGTCAATTTATAACAGACTGACCGAAAAAATGAAAAACATCACGGAAAAAAAGGATTTATACAAAAAAAAAAGCCATTAAAACATTAATTTATATGCCCTAACCCGAGAAATATGCAAAAATATGCAAAATAAGATTTGGTATTTGAACTGAAATCAAGTCGAAACAAATGTTGGCCGAATCCGTTTTGTTTTACAGAGTAGCAAAAAAAAAAAAAACGCAAATGAAATTCACAGCCCCGCCGATGGCCACAACAATATTATGATGGAATCGTTTTCGCCATTATATTTCGTCACTATACCATTATTAAAACAAACGTGCGACATGCACAAAAATTGAATACTCGTTCGAAATGCTCTGTCTTTAGGCATATTTTTGATATTTAGTTGTTTTTTCAAATAAACCTATGATGGGAATTATTACATGTAGTGGGAACAAATTAAAAACCAGCCGTATAATGATTTTGAGCGGAGACGTTAGACATAGGCATATTATATTTCGTATATGGGACGTCGTTGGTTTTTTTTTTCATCCGGTTTTTTATCATCAGATTATAAAATGTTATGCTTTTAAATGCATCACGCGATTGGGGGAATTAAATGACGTGCGTAGGCCGGCCGAAGCGACTGGAAATATTTTTTTTTTTTCAACTAGAAAGCGTTCGCTTGTGTTTCCCTATACCTATATATATTCATAAGCCGCCGCCGTTGGAATTCGGTGGTAATCTCTCGTGCCTATATGCACAATATATTACTATAATATTATAATCATAATATATTATAATATGCTGACGTTTACGCCTCGGGGGCATGGTATTAATAGTAATAATAAAACGATTCCCTAATATTATACCCATCTAATATTACTATCTCCCAGCGTATAATTTAAAGATTTAAAATAGTGACATGGTACCGTCGTGTATTTTAGACGTACGATATAATAATAGTAATAATAATAACTCTTCGTGACGTTGTTGGCGGTCGTCCCGAGAGTTTGAAAACGGACAAACCGTGGGGAGGGGCGGGGCCGAAAAACGAGAAGACGAAGAAATAACTAAAATGGATAACATATAATATGTATATAGGCCCAAGATTTTTATGTAAATGCACATTCTTTTATAATAATAATTAATATTATTCACTTGAATAATTTCGATTAAAAATGTCGTCGTTACGTCGTAATGACGTGTATAGAGCCTATGTGGGTAGTATATGTTCTTTCCCGATTTTTTTAGTATTTGAATAAAAATTACTATAAATTGCAGCATATTTCTATATTACCTATAATTTAAAGTGGCATTTTGTACACAATGTAAATACAATATTTTTTTGTAGGTCTGTTTTCTTAATTCGAAAGTTAAAAACAATTGTGGTCAATAAAGCGAAAGATAAATAAGCAGTGACAATGGATGTGTATTGAAGAGTGTTGTAGACATTTTTTTGTTTTAATATGCGCCTATAATATAATATACTATGGTGCTTATTGCAACGACTCAGTAGAAAGAAGTTTTTCCAAGTAAAAATCAATGATAGATGAAAAGTTATCTTTGCATACTTCAGAATTTTTTTTTTGTGC